AAAAAAAAAAGATCTGAGGAAAGAAATGAATTTCGTTTAACCCCTGGTTTAACTGGTTTTCCCAGCCACATGTAATAATGTTCCAAGGAACTAATTTCTACAGAAACATCCTTAGAGATGAAAAGGTCTCAGATAATGGAGCTCTCTAACTGCCATGGTGCTGTCATCAGCACTCTGGTCAAGTTTCGCTACTTTTCTGATCCTTAGCTTAGAAAATAGTGTCTTACTGTCTCACTGAAAAGCGAATGCAAGTCGTCTGCCTATGACTGTTGATGGAATACTTTGAGTGGTTCAGGAGTTGTAGTTTTTCCCTCCAAAAACTTGTGTGTGAATAATATTTGTTTACATTGGTTTATGTACAGTTGGATTAAATGTGGCTAGTCTTTGAAATGTATTGGTGAAGCAAGGTATCTAAGTGGGATTTTGTTCTTTTACCTCCCCTAGTCACTACTTTAACTGAAGTTGTTTATTCTAGCAATTTTGTTTATTCAAAGTTATTGTTGTTTATTCAAAAGCTATTTTCTTTGCAAAATCAGTGGTCTAGTTTAGTAGTCTTTAAGTATACATATTCCTAGGTCTGACCTTAGCATGAAGGGATCAGTACCCACCCTGGGCTCCAGGCATCTGTGTTTTTAATATAAAGCTCTGTGTGAGAATCTGCAAGTCACTTTGAGGACCACTGTTCTCAAGCATCATGTTTACTCAGCACTGCTTCAGGTCCCTACAGCTGATAGAGTTACCAGCAATGATTTAGAAGCAAGAGTTCTCTCAGCTTTTAAATAAGTATTAATATAAAGATCCTCTTTTTATCTTTTTTGTTAAGTGATCCTTTTAATTACAATTCAGAAGTGTTTTTTAAGAAGTGTTTTGAAAGCTTAGCTTATCAAGTGGACTGAGTTGTTTTTTGTTTTTTAAATCATTTTATTAGGGGCTCATACAGCTCTTATCACAATCCATGCATACATACACTGTGTCAAGCCCATTTTTACATTCTTTGCCATCATCATTTTCTTTAGGACTGAGTTTTAACATCTGTGACTCTTCCTTTAGCATTAGTCATTTAGTGTCCTCACAATAGCCCAGGCCTTCTTTTTTTGAGCAGCTGTTGAATTATTTTAATGAGGCCAGAAAAAAGCTTACTGTAAAAAATATTTCCGTCTCGTAAAAATGCATATATTTTGGTATTTTGGTCAGATCTGAACTGTAAACAATGTTTTAAGTTCAAATTTGGGGGGCTCGTGGTTGGAACTTGGCATTTTCAACTCTGTGTTTTTTAAAATCCTTGATTCTTGACTGTCCTTCCCAAGGAGCAGCATATGAGGGGATAGATACTCTGTAGTATTAAATTAAAAAATAATGACGCAGAGGGAGGTGGGGGGCCAGCCCCCACCGCTAATACTCCTATTGCTACTACTCGGATTCAGTAATACTACTTCTGGGTTCAGTAATGCACAGTTGTATGGTTGAGATATATAAGCATTATATTAAAGTCATTGAGAGCATGAGAGATAATACAATATTACAGTCAGACATGTTACATAGTACCATTGCTCACCTCAGCCCAGCTTGGTGGTCCACGTGGAGAGGGGGAAGGGAAGGAGGGGAAGGGAACAAGGGAGAGGGGAGAAACCAGGGAGTGAGCAGCAAGGAGCTCAGAGTCAGAGAGAGAGATCTATATTGCTGGCTCACACCTATATACCTTTTGGGGGCAAGCCAGCCCACTAATTACAGGTAGAGACATATATCATAGGGAGGGGTTGCACTATAGGCTACACAGCAATGAGAGGGTGGTCTAGGGGGTGGTCTCTGGGTCTCCATAGGAACATTATCAGTAGGGTGCAAACCCCTCCTACAGGAACCAAGCTAATGGTCCCAAGCTTCAGAGAGTAGTCCATTGTCTCCAGCAGCAGGGAGCAGGCCCACCCCTGTGGTGGGATGAGACAGCAGTCTGGCAGCAAGTATCTGACTTCCCCCCACAATACTTCCCCCAAAAAACCCTGGAATTGCGTTGGGTGGAGCAGAGTTGATATGGTATGCACTTTCCCAATTAGGTTCGTGTCAAGCAACTTGCTCCGAATTAGTGCACCCAGTGGTGTCACCTGGGAAGGTTCTCTCTGGTCACATTGACGTTTTTCATGAAAGCAGTTTCTCTCGAACCTTGTTTTTTAATGATGGCCAATTTAAGAGAACAGCGTGTGAGATTTTGCTTCCTGCTTGGGAAAAATGTCACAGAAACGGTTGTGATGTTGAACACAGCTTACAAGGACAGCGCTATGGAAAAAACTCAAGTGTACAAGTGGTTTTCTCATTTCAAAAAAGGTGAAATGTCGATTAATGACAACCCTTGCTCTGGATATCCGTCAACTTCCTGAATGGATAAAGATGTCAACTTGCAGTGCATTTGGAGTTGGTTCCACCAGGTCAGACTGTTTATCAAGCTTTCTAATTAGAGGTTCTAAAAAAGATAGCTTTTTTTAAACAGTGTACAACAAAAAAGGCCTTGTTTGTGACAGATGGGGGACTGGTTTTGGCACCACAGCAATGTACATACTCACCCAGCCATCTCAGTGCACCAGTTTTTGGCAGAAAACCAGCATGCCTCTCTTACTCTACTCACCTGACTCACATGACCTTGCTCCTTTTGATTTGTTTTTGTTTCCGTGAATGAAGAAGGACATGAAAGGACAGTGATTTGGAAACGTAGAAGAGGTGAAGAAAAAAGCAAAGGAGGTGCTATCAGCCATCCAAACAGATGAACTTGAAAAATGTTGCAAAAAATGGGATTGCAGATTTGACAAATGTATTAAGTGTAATGGTACTTAGAAGGTGCCAAGGTTGTTTTGTAAGCAATGTAAATATATAGCTTTGGGAAAAGATGCTGGTTTGTGGAGGTTTCCCTCGTATTGTGATGACTCTTTTGCAAAGTCACTGGGCATCACTGCTCTTCTCACCTGATTTATGGCTTGGGTTTCTACAAGGTTCAGAGGTGAGGGATGGCTTCATGGACACGTCATGTCTTTCCATTCATTTTTTATGGAGTCCCTGGTAATACTTCTGTATAATTCATTCCTTGTCACTGTCTGGGATCTTTTGGATCACAGCCTTATTTCTTACTGTGTTTGCCCTAAGTATGTATTTAATGCTGTCCTCTCAGCTTTAACTTTTTGCTAGGATTTTGTTGCCATTTTGCTTTACATAGAACTTCTCTTTAAGACTTCTAACTCTTTAAGACATTGAGAGCACTTGAGGAAAGCCACAGTGACTGAGAGCTCTTGCAGAGCTGTGCTGAGAGGGCTAAACGTGCCCTGTGCTCATCTGACAGTGGACTGCTGCTGAGGGTCGGACTGAAGATCTGGCCCTGGCTTTTTAGGGCCAAGGGTCTTGATTAGTGAAGGTAGAGTTGGGTGTGTAGCTTTACAGGTGACCAGGCCTGGAAAAGTGTTGCAGAGTGCCTGGTTTGATTTTCAGCCCTGCCATTTTAGTGCAACCTTGGGCAGATTACTTTGTTGCTTTGTCTCTGCCTCCTGTCAAGAGGATGGGACAGTGGTGCCTGCTTCATCGCACTGTTGTGAGGACTAAGTGTAGTAAATTTATGTATAGTGTTTATCATAGTGCTTCGCACTAGTCATTGCTCAGGGTTTAAGGGATATAAGTAAGCAAAATAAGCCCTTTACAGTATTTTTGTGTCTTTCTGTGTCTAGGCTACTTCTTCTCCAGTTACCTGTAGCTCAAATGCTTGTCTGGTTACTGCAGATCAGGCTTCTTCGGGATCTGAAACTGAGATTGTGACCTCAGAGACTCCTGCGGTAACAAGTGACCAAATGTCTTAATTTCTTTTCTGTCTTAAAGAATAGCAGAACTTGTTATCTTATGAACTATAGAGATGATCAGTTGAATGTATAACATTTATACTTTACTAGTGTGTTGTTTAGGAGCCCTGGTGCAAGGTTGCCACTTCAAACTCAGCAGCCAGCCGCTCTGCAGGAGAAGGATCATCATGCTTTCTGCTCCCATAAAGATTTACAGTCATGGGAACCCACAGAGCCAGTGCTACTCATACATAACCCATAGGGTTGCATATTCATATGAGTTGAAATCGATTCAATGGCAGTGAATTTGAGTTTTGAATGTGTAGATAGTATAGTCCTGGAACTCAATTAATTGTATTGTGGGTTTGCCATATGTTAGTTTAATAAGGTATTATCTGATGTAATAAATATGCCAAAATAAAGAGTGAAGAGATCTAGGTAGGATTGTGTCAAATTTCTCACCATATTTACATTGAAGGAATACTTGGGAGAGAAATATTTATCCATGTAACTGAAGACTCAATAGACATGATTTTTATTCTTGAAAATGATACTGTATTTTAGGTGAAAATTTACTGAGCAGATTAGGATCCCATATGGCTATTGTTTTATACAGATTGTTCTGTGATATTGGTCCAGTTGTTCGAATATGCCAGCATTCTCATTTTCATTCTCTTTTCCATTGATGTAGATTCCTTTCCCCTCTTTCTCTTCCCATCTTTGCTTGTGGATAAATGCTGACTATGTGGTCTCCTGTGGTTTCTTCTTTATGAGCACATTACTCAAGGGTGGAAGTGTTTATTTGCTAAGCATGTATATTGGTTAGCTCCCAGGTGACCTCCATAAATAGTTTACTTCTAAGTTCAAAGGTTATTTCAGGGCAGTAGTGTCAAAGGGGTCATCTAGTCTCTGTCAGTATAGCAAAGCTAATTTTAAATTTTTTTGAAATTAAAATTTTGACATTTTGATCCCTTTTTATCTGGAACCTTCTATTGTGTGTCTGGTTAGAATAGACAGTTCAATAGACATTGTAATGTTAATTTTAGCTCAGTTGAGACAAGTATGTTTTGGGTTTTTTTTTGGGTGATTTTATCAACAGAATTTTATTTTTCCTTAATAATCCTAGTGATGATTTTTACTAAGTTAGAATAAATCCTAGAGATTAGTAAGGTAAGAGAAATGTTGGGTAAATTTAGGTACTCTTGGCCCATCCCCCTCATTAGTAACTTTTATACAAGAATATGTATTTCTTGTAAACCAAAAGAAACCCAAACCTTTTTCAGTTCATAGTGACCCTAAGGACAGAGTCGAATTGCTCCATAGGGTTTCTAAAGATGTAGATCTGCATGCAGATAGCTAGTAGGTTTGAACTACTGCTCTTGAGAAAAGGGCTCCTTGTATATTTATTATTAAAAAATAGAAGATGAGTAAGGTAACTTTTGGGGACTAAATTAGCAACCCTCAGGGGGTTTGCTCATAACCATTAAAACAAACAAACAAACAAACATTGCCATCGAGTTGATGCTGACTCATAGCAATCCTATAGGACAGGGGAGAGCTGCCCTTTTCAAGACTCTTAACTGTTTATGAGAGTGGAAAGCCCTGTCTTTCTCTCGCCATAACTATTAAACAAAACTGCATATTCATTTTAGGAAATGAGAAAATGTAATCATTAGTTTTTACAATGCTGACTTACTCGAAGCTAAACTTATTTGATTCTTCATCTTACGAAGAAGTGATTGTTACCAAAGGACTCAAGCTGTGAACTTTGTGTAATTTGATGGGAATTGATTTTTTTTGGTCTATTTAAACCTTTGAATTTATTATCTATTCCTTCAGATAAGAATTATTTAAGGTTGGTGGAGTTTGGTTTTCTTTTTTAAGGTAGCCAATTTCACATTTACTAAGAAGACTTTACAGTGGAGAAAAACTAACACTTAAATAACTACCCCAAGGCATTTCTTCAGCCTGCTTCTGTTGTATATATCTGAATAATAATAGAATCTTCAAAGAAAAAAATAGTATTTCACTTTTGGAAAAGGACTAGGAGCTCATAGGAGGTTCAGCTGCTCATCTATTGGGCTGATTAGTGAGACTTTTACTAGTCAGCAAGCTCTGCAAAGCAAATACTAGTGTGCAGCCTCAGCGAATGAGATTTGAAACTGTAAGCGAAAGCTTTTCTTTTGCATTCCTGTGTCCAGATGTCATCCCATAGAACTTGCTGACTTAGGCCAGTCTGGGGTGCATTGTGAATTAACTGCTTTCTTACATAGCAGGTGATTGGCTGACTCTGCATTTGTCTTTCTCAGGCAGCAGGTCCCGCAAGCAAGCAGCCATCTTCATTAGCATCTTCCAATCCTCCCCTATCCATGGGCTCTGAGGGCTTCCAGTCACCTCCTGCAAGTACTAGTTCAGTAACCATTAGCACAGCGCCCTTTCAAGCCATGCAGACAGTGAGTATGAGATGTGAATGGTAATTGTAGTTCTTTATTCCTGTTAATTGGCCATAGTTTTCTCGTACATCTATTATCTGGTAGTTGTCAAACATTTGACTTTTTAAATATTGTGGCTGGCAGAAGAATGCTAAATCTACAACTTAAAGAATTTTAAATGTGTGTTTTATTCATGACATTGTTACTTCTCTGAAAATTAGTAGCAGGTAAAGCTGAAGGATTCATGTTTTTTTTTAATAATCATTTATTGGGGCCTCATACAGCTATCACAATCCATACATGCATCCATTGTGTCAAGCATATTTGTATATATATTGCCATCATTTTTTAAAATCATTTTATTGGGGACATGTACAATTCTTTTCTTTTTTTAAAAATCATTTTATTAGGGGCTCATACAACTCTTATCACAATCCATACACACATCAATTTTGTAAAGCGCATTTGTACATTCATTGCCCTCATCATTCTCAAAACATTTCCTCTCCACTTAAGCCCCCGGCATTAGGTCCTT